GATGGTGGCCCAAAAGCCCTTTCCTCTGAGCTGGGAGCAGTGGGAGGGATGGTGGCCAGGAAGCCCCTTCCTCTGGACCAGGAGCAGTGGGACGGTGGCTCAGAAGCCCCTAGCTCTGGGTCGGGAGCAGCGGGACTCAGTACCATGGTGTGGTGGTTCGGTGTCCTCTGCGTCTTTGTAGTGTGGGACCAGGTGGCTGTACAGAGGAGCGGAGGGTGGGGGGGTGGGGGTGGTGTCCAGTTGATTGCTGCTGGGGCGCAGGCTGATTTGGTATGTTCTACATGACTCACGACCTCGGTAGGACGTGCCCAGACCTCTAAGTTTGAAAGCTTTTAGGATTTAGTAGTAGAATTTCTAGAGAAAACAGCGTGCATATTTTGATCCATATTGCAAAATTTTCTAGTAGACAGTTTGTATCATTTGACCGCATACCCATTAAGACTATTTTGGCTTGTTTGATGGATTTTGTCATTTATCATCCTATTATGTCATTATCTTGAGATGCTGTTCACATAAGCAACCTTCTTAGAACCTGAGCTAATTTTCAATAAATATAGTTTTGTTCTTAATTCTCTGACTTCTGTAAATAGACAAAAGTTAAAGTGAATTTCACTCCATATGGGTGGTCAGACCAGTTGCACCCAAATTTTGGAAAAAGTATTTATGAGTTTCCAAATCTATTTTAAAATGGAGTCATCACATCTTTCTGCATTGATTTTGATTAAGAAAAATAAACAAAAACTCCTAGCTCTTCACACACCTGCCAGCTCAACTCTAGCTGAAAGTGAACACTGATGCACGATGGGAACTGTGGAGTGGCAGCACTATGGGAAACCATTCAGGAATGGCCCAGATGTCCATTTCAGTCCTTGATTAGAAAAGATGAACTGTAAGAGCCCTCATCTTGCAAGTCACATGAGCACCTCCTCCAGAGCAGTATAACTTTTTATGTTGATGTTATCTGTAGTAATTGTACAAATGTTTTAATGCTGTTATTATGATATAAACTCTAATAATAAAATCTCTGAAAATAAGACAGCCTGACTGTTTTTTTCAGTCTTCAGTGCTCATCAGGATGTGATAAAGAAGAACCAATACAAGATTCTTGAATAAATGAAATGAAAAATAGAGCCCTCAAATTGAGATATAAAATTAAAATATCCACTTCAGAGGTGATTTTCAAATCTGTTCATTTAATCAGTGTTAATTAAATGCCAGTATGAAAAAGTGCTGGACACACAGAAGAGAACAAATCAAAGTCCTCATCTCTCTATGGGAGAAATTTAGTCTTTTTGTGAGTAATAACCAACAATCATCCTCCCTAATTTCACCTCATCCTACCTATCTGGAAAGCAAGTTACCTCCCTTGAATCTTATCACACACCAGCTGGGATATAATAGCACAGAATCATACTGCAAACTAGTAATCACCACAGCCTCACTGTGTTGCATTTGCCTTTTCTTTGCTCTGGAAATACTGGTCATTGTTCTGGATTTCCTGTGCCCTTTCCATTCTTCAGGATTTTGTCTTTGTTCTGCTTCCAGATCTACTTGATTGGGGTTTTGCCTGAATGCAATTCCTCCTCCAGTTACTCTATGACATCAAATTTCTATTTTCTTATAATTTCATAACAATGATCACCTTTGGAAATTATGTTATTTATCTATTTATGACTTCTTCCCATAAAATGTAACTCCTGTGAAAGCAGATTTTCCATGAGAACAAATCTGTTTGATTCCTACTATCTCCTCATGTATAAGGGGCATTCAAGTTCCTTTACTATTCTTTCTCCCTCTCCCTCCTCACCCCTCTCTTGGTCCCCAGACCACCGTGGTCTGCTTTTCATTACCTTGTGTTAGTTTATATTTTCTAGAATTTTATACAAATGGAAGCATATTATATTTACTCCTTGCTTGATATCTTTCAACACAATTATTTTGGGTTACTTTGAAGTACAGCATGTAATAATATATGATTTTATGGATCATAATTTTGGTGTTATAACAAGAAATTTTTGCATAATTCAAAGTCAAAATGTTTGATACTATGCGTGATTCTAGACACGTCATAGTTTTAGATTTTGCATCTAGGTCTATGTTTAATTTTGAGTTACAGTGTGCCTTTGTGATTATACTGGAACTATCTAGATAATCCAGAATAATCTCCTCTCTCAAGAGCTTTAACTCTGTCGCATCTGCAAAGTTCCTCTTAGTGTTTAATGTTTCATGTTGACAGATTCTGGGCGTTGGGTGTGGCTATCTTGAAAAGAGAAATTTTTCTGTCTAACACAAATGGATAATTTTAAGAAAGTATTCCTGAATTTTCTATATCATTCAAGTGCCCTTCCTGTTGCTATAAAATGGCCCAATATGGAAAACAACTTAAGAGAAAGAGTGAAAGGCAACACTTAACAATTCATACCACCCAAAGCTCCGCCAGTCTGTGATGCGAAGAATGCAGGTTTGGGAATCAGGGCTTGGGTTTAGATCCTAAAGGTTTCAGTCTTTGCTCTGTGACTTGGACAAATTCATTTACTCTCTGTCTTCAGGTTTCTGTTTCAATACTAGGGCCATATGCATAGTTTGTGGGAGGTTTTGAGGACTACAGGGTAACACGGTTAAAAGGCCTGGGCAGCGCATGCTGCTTCCTTCCTGCGGCTGTGCCAGTTCACTTGCTCCAAAGTCCTCTTGTCTGCGGTCAAGTGTAGTCCCGACCGGGCTGAGTCTTCCGGTCACTCTGCTCCCCCACGGTGAGCTCAGGCCATTGTCGACTCCTCAGCGTCCTGATCATCTGGAGGAGGAGAGTTGGGTTCCCTCGTGGTGTCCTGAAGGTGAGACAGAGGAGCAGGTAAATGGAGACCACCCTTCCCCAGGGTCAGCTCTGTATGCAGTCAACACCTTTGACCGCTAGAGGGCGCGCCACACGCGAAACTCCGTCTTGGATTCTTTTTTTTTTTTTTAGCAAAACTGATTAAAGGGTGATTTAAATGCACAGATTCACTGCCATGTGACATTATTTATGCATTTGTTAAATTCTTAAGCAGAACATTAAGTTCAGTCTGTGTTATCAATAATTTGAATTACCTCACAAAATGATCTTAATGTCCTTGGAGATCAGGAAATTCTAATAATAACATATACCAAGGTAACTTCAGTAGCTGACAATGTTTGTAAATCTCAAAACTTAGGAAGTATATTTTGGGGGGGGTGTGTGTGCATGCGTGTGCGTGTGTGAATGTGGTATGAATAGGATTATCTTAAAATAGGCAGCAATCATTTTGAATCTTTAAAACCTTAACCTTTCAAAGGAATTAATTCTGCCTGTGACAATGATAGCAGTGGCAAGAACTATAAATGGCTCCGTGGAAATGAATCCAGGTAGAAGAGAGTTGCGATGAGCATCCGTGCTCCCGGTCACACACAGCGGGCCTAAACTTATTTTCAGCGTATTGGAAAGAACCGAAGGTGTGTTCAGGAAGGGAGATGCACCCTCAGCGCTAAAACCAGGATCCCATATTAATAAGGGGAAGAGATTCATTACAGGGACAGATTAACGTGCAGCCTAGTCCCCACATAGGGAGACACAGATAATGCTTCTCTGAAAGAGTATGAAATATATTCACACGGCAGTTAGATATGGGCTGTTTTCTAAAGTGAAGGAAGTCATTTCTGTAGACCAGTGAAGCCATACCTTGGACTCTGCTTTGCATGATTTGATTAATTCTTTTCAGCACAATGAAGCCCACAGTGCTGGCCATGGGCTTGGAAGTCCCCATGGTTAGCTTGACAAGCACTTTCAGGGAAGAATCCACTCACTCCACCCTTGTTTGCTGCCAAACCTCCACTTAGGCTTTGGGCAGTGTACAAATATTCTCGTTTTTGTTTTTTCCATAATACTCCTCAATCTTTCCCCCTTCCCCAGTTATTTATTTCCTCATATACGTCTTAAAGCATGATCTGTTCCAGTTATTGCTTTATCATCTTGCCTCCTCACTGCGTTCTGAACTTTTGTGTGAAGAGTGATTGTGCCTGATTGGCTTCAGTATCCTCAAAACCTTCCAGGGTGCAGAACAGCATATGTGCTGTGATCAAAACATATGGTGAATATTTAAATTTTAAAAATTTATTATAGTAAAAAAATACATTGCCAATCCCCCTCAAAATACTCAACCTTAATTCCAACACAGTTAGTTATCTCATCATTCTTGCTACTTTCTGGAGGTCTGGAAGTCCACTTCCATAACCATCTTTACAAGATGTGATAAAAACTACAGTGGATTCTGCTGCTGAGGTCCTTCCAACAGAAAGCCAGTCTCATAATAACATAACGGTGTGTTCTCATCCACCTTATTCACCACATCTGGCATTGTGCGATTTCTGGCCTTTCCCCCAAAATTGAAATAACCATGAAAGGTAAATATTTTAAATCTATTCTGGACATTGAGGCATTCATGACAGCAAACTAAAGCCTCTCAGGAAAAAGGACTTCCAGTACTGCTTCAGAAAGTGGCAAGCAGGATGGGATAGTGTGTTCTACATTAGAAGGAGGATTTTGAGGAGGATTAAAGACATTGTATCTTTTCTCGTAACAACTATTTTTTAAAAATTTAGATATTCATTATAGTTTTCAGTCACACCTGGTAGATCATATATAAATGTTATGAAGTTAAACTGGAGTTTTGTAAACTATAGACCCATGGTGCCATGAATCCACAGGCATTTTTAAGTCTTTGAGATGAGGCCTATAATGATGATGCCAGTGATTAACATACCTAGGGAAAGTTGTAAACAAAACTAAAAGGCCATTTTATCCTTTCCTCTCTTTCTAGAAATAACGCTACTTATTATTATGTTTATGACAAACAAATCATTTTTTAAATGAGCTTATTAATGGTTTAGGAAAAGCAAGACAATTTCAAATTATCTATTTATATGTGGAGTCAAGTTCTTCATTAGACATTGTGATGGTTTGGATATTGTTTGGCCCTAAGAGGTTCCCTTGTTGGGAACATGACCCCAGGTTCCTAGTACTGGAAGATGATGGAGCTTTTAAGAGGTGAAGCTTAATGCTGTGTCCTTAGTTCATTTGGCCTGTGCCCTCAAGAGGAACGGAGGGACCCTGGTTAGTTCTCTTAGAGGATTGCTACCACAGCTGGAGCCAGGCCCCATCTGCTCCCTGCTTTCTGGATGGAGAGGTGATCTCTTCTCATACAGGGCCTTTGCCAACACATATGCCATGCTGGGAAGACCTTCAGCCTTGAAATTGTTATCTAAATAAATTTCTTTTCCTTCATAAATAACCCACCTCAGGTATTTTGTTGTTGCAAAGAAAAGCTAAACAGGTGTATTCAGCAGTCTTGGGCAGAGACAAAACCTTCCTTCATGGCATATTCTGAGATGCACCAGACATACTCAGATGGTTAATGCTTCCTCTTGTTCCCTTCCTTTTACTATCTGGCTCACTCAGAAGCAAGCACAATATTTTTTTAAGGAGGACATAAAACCATATTATTCACCTATTAAAACTCTTTGATGGCTTCTAACTCCACTAAGAATAAAATCGAGCTCCATCTTCAGTCTCCAGACCTGACATAGTCTACCTTCTGCTGAGTGCTCTGGTTGGCCCCATTCACCAGCTGCTGCCACACTGGTCTTGAAGTCTTGAACCCTACTCTGGCCCTGGAAGAACTTTCTTTCCCAAGATGCTCCTTACTCACTTGTTTGAGAGATATCCTCCTCCTCTCTGTTGATAATTCACATTAAAAATACTTCTTTGGCCTTTTTTTCTTTCCTTTTTTTTCTTTTTGTACCAGGGATCAAACTCTGGACCTTGGGCTTTCAAGGCCGGTGGTGGCACCACTGAGCTAAATCCTGGCCTCTTCTTTAGCCTCTTTTGATTGCCTAATCTAAGTAGCTCCTCAAACTTTTCAATTTTATCATTTTGTTTCAGCTTTATTATAGCTTTTAGCATTAACTGACATCCCCTTGCTATTTATCTTTCTGTCCCTCTCCACTAAATGGTACAATCCATGAGAACAGGTCCTTTGTTCATTCTGTGTTCCAGGATCCCTTAAAAGGCAAATAAAACTCCAGGCAGTTATTAAACAAATGAGTGGATAAATGTACTAAAAAATAAAAACTATTCTTTCCACTTACTCTTTTCCTCTGATATTCTTTTCAGATATTTCTTGAGGAAGGTCACCTTAAGAACACGTAGTTAAGTTATTATAAATATTTAGAAAATTAGTACATTAATCAGAAGTCTAAATCTTGAGAAATAAATATTGAAATTACTCTTTCTGAGCTACCCAAGACAGGTGTTTAGATTCTGCCAGAACCAAGTAGGCACAGAGTATGCCAGTTCTTTCAAGGAGCTTTGCTGAAAATGGAACCAAAGAAAAGGTAAGAAGAGAATAGGACTTACAGAAGTTCTTTGTTTTTTTTTAATTTTGAAGAAATAATTGTATGTCTTCAAGAAGTGATATAGTGGCAAGGATAATATTAATCAAAATAAGTATTATAGAAATTTGAGATTTATTTTTTTCAAATGGTGCTAAAATTACTCCAAGATAAATAACATGTTTAATTGTAGATAATAATATGCAATTAATGACATAAGCAAGGTAAGGTTTTTAGATATTTCAGGAGGAAGGGACTGGAAAAGGATTGTGGTATGCCACGTAAGAATTTAGCAAGTGAAAATCCTGGCTAGGTGAGTAAGAAGTCTGATATAGAATATGCTGGCATATTTGTTCATCCAGATGTAGGACCACATTGACTGGGCTTGGTTAGTGGGATTTCAGTAATGAGACCTTGGGAATAATCCTTTTGCTACCAAGGCTTCCTTATTTTTAAAATGATAAGAATTTGTTATTATCTCAAAAGTCTCAAAAAGATCAAAAAACTCTACAGCCAATGGGATGATGCAGGTTTCCAAAGCAGAGTGCATAGTGCACAGGAACCAAGTGTGGGGATGAGATCATGAAGCTTTGTCACTTCAGATTGCTACCTGGTGGCTTCTGTGTCACCTGGAAAGTTCAGAGTCAGTCATTGAGCAACTGCACCACAGCTGGCAATGGGAGTCTGCACAGTACCTCTGGCGAAATCACACATGGTGTAGATGAAAGAGACCCAAAAATGATTTTATGGAACATTTTCTAAACTGTGAAATGCAAGTTTTAGGAGATGCTAATAAATATGATGTCATAAATGAGTTATATGATCAAGTAGGCATGGAAAAGATGATTCACTATATATTTTATAAAGAGATTGGCAAGCGATATATCAATGTCCTCATAAGGCTTGCATGCTAAAGGATTAAAATGGGAAATTACCTTAAACATAAAAGCAAGTAATAGGTACAATTTGAAAGATGATAAATGCTGTGAAAAATAGTGGAGATGTGGAAGAGCAGCCAGGCGGGCTCACAGAAGGGTAGGAGCTGCTCTGGGGACTTCATGCAGGGTGCTCAAGAGAGGCCTCGTTTGAAGGCTGGCACTTGACAAAGAGTAGAGGAAGGGAACGGGCAACAGATGCGTGGACAGAGTGCGCTTCCGGCGGAGGGAACTGTCAGTGCCGAGCTGTCCCGGTCAGTGCGGGCCCACCACGGCTGAAGCAAGGTGAGTGAGCAGCGCTGCAAGGAAGGGCTGAGCGGAGAGCCTGGGAAGCTTGCTCCGGCCGCTCAGGGCTTGTGACTTCCTGAGTGAGGGAGAGACACTCCAAGGTTCTGAGCAGCGAATAACGATCTTTGCTCGAGACAATTTCAGCTGCTATGTTGAGAATAGGTCTCCAGTGTCACTTAGCTAGAGATAAGAGAAGCCAGCGCGGGAGACCGAGGAGTTTGTGGGAGAAGACGTTAGTAAGTAAATAGGAGCAGATATGGGAACCTCCAAAAGTCTGGATTGGGACCCTTCCCTCCCTCCTCAACTCCAGCCCCACGTTTACTGTACAGTTTGCGGCATCCACAAACCGTAAATCGTGGAAACACGGACTGAAAGCTGCCCCGCGCTTAGCAGGGCATGAGCTACATCTGGACAGGCTGGTCCTGGCTCACGTTTGGTGAGCGTTAGTAACACTTTCCTTTATCATACAAAAATGAACCCACTCTTCCAATTCTGCACCGAAAGTCATTGGCATAGCTTGTATGACGTCACAAGTTACAGGCTGTTTCTTTATCCCCGATCCATACACTCTCAGTAAATACTTTATGTTGTATTTAAAATCCATGTGTTTTTCTAAACAAAGCAGAAGGCAAAAAATATTACAGACCATTTATTTTCATTTATCATATGATGGACAATTTTTAAAGTTCCAAATTATTTAGACATATGAGAATTACAGAATTTTTGCATTATTGTATTTTCTCTTGCTTCTGTAAAAGTTGCTAAAATTTTAGCAGTTGAAAATAAGACCTGTTTATTATCTCACAGTTTATTGTGATCAGAAATTTGACATACATTTCACTAGGCTAAAATCAAGTTGTCCATAGGGCTGTGTTCCTCTTGAAGGCTCTGAGAAGCCATGCATAGGCTCAGCTGGCTTGTTGGCTTATCTGCTCCTTGTCGGGTGGAACTGAAGCTCCTCTCTCTTGCCAACTGTCACCCAGGGTTGCCCACACTCCCTCTCCAGGATTCCCCTGCGGCCCCTCCCACCCTGGTGGGTCAAGTTCTTATCATATTTTTAGTCTCTCTGACTCTGCTCAGAGAAGGTTCATGTGATTAGAGGTGGCTGATGGGTAATCCAGTATATTCTTCTTATGTTAATCACATCTGCAAAGCCCCTTTGCTATATAACTTTTTCACAAGTTCTAGGGATTAGGGCACAGACATCTTTATAGAGGACATTCTACTTACCAAGATATTTCATATAAAAGATTCAAAGCACTTTAATTAATTAGTTAATTGGTGATAATAATTAAAATAAATAATTAATAATATTATTTCAATTAATTTTTGCCTCTCTTCTTGATTCTCTTAATGGGGTAACACTATCTGTAATATTATTAATAGTAGTAATACCAAAAATGTCTGTATTATTGTCTCTAATATTATTATTCTTTGGAATATATTGGAAATCCCTTGCTAAACCCATTATCTATCATGTTAATTTTTTAGTTTTTGGTAGATTCAGGGTGTCCTAGGAGTCAGAGGAGAGGATATTATATACATTATTCATTAAGTTTATTGGTACATTTTTAGGTATACAGTATGTTGGCATTCATCACGGGGAACTTATACCTTTACATAATCTCTCTTCATTCTTATTTTTCCCCCCTTCCTCTGCCCTCCCTTCAACCCTTTCACCTCTCCCTATTTATAAAGACTTTATTTCCATTTTTCTTTTTCTCATATTTTTTCCTTTCCACTACCCCACCTACTTCCCCTTCCCCTTCCCCTTTGCACCTTTTCTTCCTATTTCACATTATCTATTATATATTTTGATCCTCATTTACACTTTAAATTTCTCACACCAGAGCAACTATTTGGTATTTACACATGTGTGACCTATTTATTTTACTTAAGAGTATGGCCTCAATGTGCCTCTATTTAACTGTAAATGTCTCTACTTTATCTTTCATTATGGCTAAGTAGTACTCCGTTTTATAAAAGAAACACATCTTTATCCAATCATCAGTTAATGGGCATTTGGGCTGTTTCCAAGATTTAGCTATTACAAACTGTGCTGCTATAAATATGGGAGCACTTATATTGCTGTGGTATGATACTTTTAATTCTTTTGGGAAGATACCCAGCAGGGGGATAGCTGGGTCAAATGGGACCTCTAATCCTAGTTTTTTTGGGTACCGGGGATCGAACTTGGGACCTTGCACTTGCGAGGCAGGCAGCAGAACCACTGAGCTAAATCCCTGGCCCTAATCCTAGTTCTTTGAGTTATCTCCATACTGATTTCCACAGTGGTTGCACCAGTCTGCAGCCCCACCAGCAGTGGAGCAGTGTTCCTTTTTTCCCACAGCCCCGCCAGCATTTGTTACTGGTTGATTTCTTGATAGCAGCCATTCTTTCTGGGGTGAGGTGGAATCTCAGCATTGTTTTCATCTGCATCTCTTGAATGACCAGTGATGTTGAACATTTTTTCATATGTTTATTTGCTGTTTTTACTTCTTGGTCTGAGAAATGTCTGTTCATTTCTGGTGCCTATTTTTGGATTGGGTCTTAAAATTTGAGAGGTCTATCAATTGGGAGACAAATATTTAGATATTTAACAATTGGTTTGGCCATGCTAGTCATGACTACTAAGTATCAATGCTAAGAGAATGTTTGTGAATTAACTGTACAGTTGGCCATAGGTAAAACTTTTGTTGTTTATTTTGACCCATTCATTCTAAAACTGCATCCTAGAACAATTTTTCCTAGTCTCCCTTTTCAGAATCATTTTGTGAGCTTTAATTTTAATTTTGGTGATTTTTAAAAAATTATGTAAAATATAATATGTAGACATGGTGACAAAAATCCAAACCATATAGAAAGCTAGAAAATGAAAAGTTAAGTCTCTTTCCCTATACTTCTGCTTCTTGACTCATACCAGGGAGTTTACTTCTATTTCAGGAATACTTAGTTCTGTGTCAGTAATATTCAGTATTTAGCTCTTCCTGAGGTTGCCTCCATAAGTATACACAGTAGTTTTTATCTATAATTCTGAGCAACTTTAGGTAGCATTAATTGAATTGTAACGTCTTTTTGAAATGTGCAGTGTGCCAGGCCTCCCCATGCCAGAAACTGATTCAGGAGATTTATTGTTGGGCTTGGGAATCTGAAGTCTTAAAACCTTTTGATTGATGCCCTGCCAAGCTGGCAGGCCTGGGCCACTCCTCTGCCCCATGCAGAACTTCTGCTCATCATTCAGCTATATGTGAGGCCCCATTTGGCCTTCTTTAGTTCCTGGGGGTCTGGCCAGATGCCAGAAGTGGGTGCAGAATTGTAGGAGAGCAGACATGGAAGGTGCAAGAACCTGATCAACTAAATAAACATTATCAATTACATGCTGAATACTTCAAGACCTCTGATCTGTAGAACCATACATTTTGCAGAGTCATCAGAAAACTAAAGAACTATTGGGTTACTCTATTTCTCAAATTCATTGTAGCAGATCCAATACTTGTGAAGTCACTGGGAGAGTCCTCATCATTAGAGATAATGCAATACCAACAATATTGGATCTTACCAGTTACTTGAACAATTCACATAGTAGACACAGAAAACAAAGAAAGAATTGAGTGAAGATGAAATCAGGACACTGAAACAGTGAATTTAAAAACTGATGAAAAAAAAAAAGAAAAATTGATGAAACTTCTGAACAGAAACAAAAGCATAAAGAAACAATAACAATGCTCAGAACTCAGTCCAGAAGGGGTGGCCAATGAGCAGGATGAAGACATTCTATTTTTAATTCTTGAAGAGAAAGAAAACAAAGAATACTTGAAATCTCTGTTTGAAATTTTGATTCTTATGGGAAAACAAAATAAACCTTTGGATGGGCATGAAATCGACGAAGTCCTGGAAGGTCTCTGCTCCTGACAATGGCAAAGCACTGCTGGAGTGCCAGATGGATTCTGGTGAGGAGTCCTGGGGAAGTGCTTTGAGACCACACCCAGTAACACACTGTTCTGTTCAAAAACACAGCAGAAACAGATGCTAGAGATCCGCGAGAGCTGTCTTTGGGAAGAAACCCAGGAAGTGAGAGACTCACACTTGTCTTCAGTTGTCACTGGTGATGTGGTAGCTGAAGCAGGGGAAGAGGACTTACCTGTTTTTGTGAGGTTTGTCAATGAATCTCATAACCTGAGAGGGGTTTGTGGGCTTCCTGCCTTATGAAGCTGATGCAGAGATTCTGGCTGAAATTTTGCACTACACAACTGAGAAGTGAGAACTAAATATGGAGTACTGTCTGGCCAGGCTTACACTGTGTCCAGTGGATATTCTTTCAAAATGACAGTTGTTGCTTCTAGACTTTTAGAGAAATATCCCCAAACTATCTACATACTCTGCTCATCCTATGCCTTAAACATGCGATTGGCAAAATCAGTGGCTATGATCAGTGGCAATCAGTTGCGTCAGGAATAATTGAGGAAGTTTGTTCATTTTTTCCATCAGTCACCACAGGAGCTTTAGAACTTGACATTGTTCTTTTTCAGAACAGTGAAAAAAGGGGTAAAGAACTGAAGGAAATTTGTCATTCTCAGTGGAGAGGCAGGCATGATGCTTTTGAAATTTTAATGGAGCTCTGGTAGGGACTTGTTTTATGTATAGCTGGTATAATAGTGACACAAATATTAGATGGAAAACTTGGCTGAGCATTTGTACTCTGTAATGCAGTGACAGATTTTGATTTTATTGTTACCATTGTGTTCTTTAAAATGTCTTATTTTTTACAAGGGTTTTTGGGGAAAATCTTCAGGGACAAACTTCTAATGTCTTCTTTGCCGCCAGTAGTATGACTCGTGTACTGAGTTCTCTCAAT